ATTGGTGTGTGAGTGAATGAGTGTGAGTGAATGGAGTGTGAGTGAATGGAGTGTGAGTGAATGGTGTGTGAGTGTGCTCTGCGATGGGTTGGTGCCCCACCCTGGCTTGTTCCCTGCCTGGTGCCTATGTCATCCGGAGAGGCTCTGGACCCCCTTGACTCTGAATAGGACAAGCAGGCATAGAAAATGGATGGATGGCTTTGCAGCTGAGATTCTTTACACACTGATGAGAGGATTCCCTTCCTTGCTTAAATCAATGTGTTCCTTGGTGGACAATGGCTGTTTCTTTGTCATATTGTAATATTAATCTAAGGTGATATTTGTGTGTTTGTGTGTTTGTGTGTTTTATTTACTTTAGTCAGTGAGATTCTATTCCCTATTCTCTATTTTATCTATACTTTTATTTTAGTTTTTTTGCTTAGAACTGAATGCCTGGTATCAGTAATGAATTACTTATCCTATCCACATATTTTGAACACAAATTAGTGGTTGAGCACTTTTGTTTAGAAATATTGATGGATTAGCAATGCCTGACTAAACTGTAAACTAAAATAAACACTGGTTTAAGGATATTCGTACCTGTCAAGTATCATAAGAGGTGTCAATGATTCATTGTGGATCATCTCTAATGTTGATGATAATTACATGCTGCCAAAGGTTTGACTAATGACTGATAAAATAATTATGTTTCTTAATGTACTGGAAGATTATGAATATTATTTAGTTTCACTGATCCATTTACATATAAGGATACTAAAATCTGCTTATATATAATCTGTTTATACTTGGCACAAAATTAAAGATTATTATTATGAATTAGCTAGAAATAATTTTATTTAAATTACAATTACAGCTTAATCCATACGTTGCCTGATTTTTTTGTCAGTTCTGCTGCATGTCAGTAGTGTTGGTCCTGAGGCATGATGATGCTGTACCGGAATGGCTAGAAATGAATACTAAATCACATTTCATACCATTACATACTGTTTGTATTGTTCATGTTTTATGCTGTACCGATTGGTTTCACTGTGTACTGGATTACAAGAAATGAACTTTATTGCCGATTGGTTCCATTGCAATGAGTGAGCTTCTCCATTGTTCCAGGTTCCATTGTTTGATGCAATGTGAGGGACAAGTTTTAACGCTAATTGGTTCTTTGGTGCGGAGCAATGCAAAGAACAACCTTCTATACTGATTGGCTCCACTATGAGATTCATTGCAATAAATGGGCTTCTGCCATTTTGTTCCATTGTTTGAAGCAACATGAGGAGCAAGCTTCAGTGCTGATTGGTTCTTCGGTGTGATGCAATGGAAGGAACAGGTTTCTGTGCTGATTTATCCTGCTTCAGGGGGTATTTCTTGTATGCTAATGGACAGTCACAGTTACATAAACACGAATGCACCATCATGGGGTTATCTGGCAACAGTTCCACAGCAAAGGCATTTCAGCAGAAATAAAATAGGATAGTGATACTGTGTTAATCCCTGTGGGGGAATTCTGTTTTTTGCTTTGCCTCACCTGGCTTTCCATACAGGTGAGAGCAGGCTTGGGGGGTCACAGCAAAGGGGCAGCCACCTTGCGGCACCCAGGGAGCTGGGGGTTAAGGGCCTTACTCAAGGGGCCCACAGACATGTGACTATTCAAACTATTTTATACTTTTACACTGATCTTATGCATGTTGTTGTGTCACCCTTTATACAGTTACACAATAGCATAGTGGTATTTAAATTTCAAACAATGCATGTCCTACATTCCTCAGTCCATGCATTTCCACCGGTTGTTGTTCCTAAATATCATTCTACAAATATGTAATACTTATCAGACACCAGTAACATCACGGCTAAATGTATATCCTGATGAAATATGAAACGTTTGGATGTGGTATTCTTGGTTGGGATAGAGCTGTCCCCAGTCTGAATCTCCCCTGTCCAGGTACTTTAAATCAGGTTGGCACAGCCCAGTGAGAGCGCTCATCGCTCATCGCTCATCGCTCATCGCTCACAGCGTTATTTTAGCTCTTCCAGTGGGAGATCGTATACAACACAGTTCTCATGTCTCAGTTTTCTCAACCTTGCTATTTTTGTTGTCTTTCCTCTCTCCCATTTCACTTCCCTTCATTTTTGTACCTATTATTACCTGCCAGGCTGCTTCTGTGCCTCATCATCATGTACATAAGACTCCTCCATCTTCCAGTTCCCTAAATGAGTATTAATCTGTAACTGTATGACAGCTAGATCTTACTTTGTGGTTGTGTGTGTTTGTCTCTGTGTATATACACACTGTAAGTATACATAAAGAGAGAATGTCATCAGTAAATTAAAAGGGGAAATAATGTTCTGTAAGCACGCCTACATATACACATAAGGCTATAACAATCCTTATATATAATTTACTTATTTTGGGGACTGAATGGAATGCTAGGCAGTGACATAATAGTTGCATGTAGTACAGTAGTTATCAATCCTGTTCCTGACACCCCCCCCCCACCACCGCTCCCCTTCCCCCACCAGAATGTTTTATTCCAACCCACACTGCTTTCAACCTGCCACATGCATCATTAGCCTATTAAGGACCATATGAGCCTCATTAAGGTAGGGTTGGAATGAAAACATTCTGGGGGGGGGGGGGGGGTGTATTGAGAACCACAGCTGAGGAAGAGGATATCATACGTGGTCGACTACAAAGTGCCCCTAAGGGTGAGGATGAAACAGCTGGAGCTGTTAAATGGAAGAGTCGGTGGCATAGCAGAGAGTTTGATATTAGGAGAGCACAGCTTAATAATTTAAATACAAAGGTCTGTTTGTTGGGAGGGGGGGGGGGTGAAGGAAGCCAAATGAAATGTTATATTTCTTTGAAGGACTTTTGTGTGGTGCTGATGAGCACTGCGTAGAACAGCACCGTGTACTAAACAAAAGCAGAGATTTCCTTGATTTAACGGTATCTTTCAAATTAAAATTCTTTCCACTGCTGCGGCAGCAGTATTGGCCCTCAAAAAAAACGAACATAAATACAGCATCTACAAATATATACTTTTCAGCAGTGATCCTCCATTCGGTCAGTGTCCTAGTGATCATTAACTTTACAGACGGTTTCCCTGAGAAAAACCCCAGGGGTATGGCTGGTTCCAGGGTGGGGGGGTGGCCAGTATATGCTGCAGCCCCCACTGCTTTCCCTCTCGCTCCTTATAAGCAGGGAGGCTTGAACATGAGCCTGCACACCTCCTTCTGCGATACATGTAGCAGGGACCCAGCCTTGGAGATCACACACACTCTCCTACCCAGCACTGCTCCAAAACATGGACAAATAATTAAAAGAAATTGTGTTGTTTTTTTCAGGAGCCTCACATTAATTGTTAAACTTAAACGTCATACTGATTTTTGCTGGGACTGTATCGGGCCATACATCAATTATACATGTACTTTTTCACATTTGATGTCACTATGATGTCTTTGTGAGAGATGTTCTTGCGTCTGACCTTCTTATTTTATTCTGCTGTAAAAACATGTGTCCGTGTCTCATGTGTCTTCATCCCAGGTAAAATGCAAGATGGCAATATGGAGAACAACCAAACCAAAGGTATTGACCCACTTATTTGTTTTATTGCAATGGTTTCCTCTCTTTGTTTTCTTCGCTGGAGCTTACTGTAACCTATTGTGCAGTATCAGCACAAAGTAACCACTGTGACCTCTGACCTCTTAACTTGAATGGACTCCTTTGGGTTATCTGGCCCGTGCCACACTCTTATCTTGCATGCTTATGCCTCTGTCTGATGCCACTGATTTTGGGTCTTGGAACACTGACACACTTTATCGATTTATTTCTACTCACGTGCAGTGGAACATGCCTCCATAAGTTACATCACGTTACAATAGGTATCAGATATTTTGTCATAATACACATCATTAGGCATTGAAAACACATGCTGTGATTGCTGGTAATCCTCCAAGTTTTATCTCAGAACTCTACTCCTTGATTAAAGGGTGCAAATACTGTGGAAACATCAGCTGAATCAATAGTAGCAGCAGCATAGTCTCTGCTGGGTGAAGACTGAGCTAATTACTTTGTGTGGGATTCACGGAACCCTTTGAAGAGGCTCAGGGCCTTTGAGGAATTCAGAGAACCAATTGTTCCCTTGAAACTTCTTTGAAAGAAAATCCCCGATGTAATGAGAAAAGTACTGGGTTTGAGGCGAGAATTAACAGAGTCAAAATCGAAAACTGAAGAGCAGAAAGAAGACCTAGGTCTAGTACTTGCCCATGGGGACAAGTACCCTTGGATACAGGTGAAACTAAAGGGTTTCCATGTGAACTCTGTAGTCAGGGGAGGCCCTTTGTAGTCAGGAGTTACTGTAGCATGGCGGAAGCGGGAATGGTCATCCCTGTATTAAACGCATGCAGTCTCATTTCCGCTGTTAATGAAAAGCCATTTATACACGGTAGCCTTGGCCCTTGGCCATGGCTTAGGATTTCAACTATTTTGAGTGTTCGAAAGAATAGTGTTTGATGCCCCTGACAGTTAATTTTACACTGGTAAATTTGACAAAAGTTTAGAAATCTGAAACATATATGATGAACATTTATGATGTTTTGTTTGTTCATTTCAGAGTGGCAAATCGGACAACAAAAACTTCAGTTAGATATTATCAGATTGGTAACTCTACTTGATGGGGCACAAATACTTAGTATTAACTCTCAGCTAGTTGAGATAAAAGATGCTGAAAAAACAAGAGATCAATATTTCACTTGCGTTATTCATGACTTGTTCCATCAGTAGTTCCTTCAGTAGATCACAAAGGTTTACAGAATTAACAGATATAGTAACAAATATAGCAACTGCTTGGGATAAATGTTGCCCCAGAATTCATTAATGTTGAACAAACATGAGATCAGTATTTAACCTGTGTTATTTGTGATGTGATTCTTCAGTAGTACTGTACCTTCATTAGCTCACAAAGATTTGCAGAATTAACAGATATAGTAACAAAAATATTAACTGCTTGAGATAAACACGAGATCAGTATGTAACTAAGACTTAGTTTGTGGTTCATCAATACATAGGTAATATCATAATACTATATTATTTCTGCCCTTTCTAGTAAATTGTCACCATCCGAGGTATTACTTATAAAATAAGGCTCAGACAAGTTTTGTAACATTAATAAGCAGCTTTCCAGGCTTCTGCATCAAAAGGAAAAGTACTTTAACTAACTGTTAGTCTTTTGTCCTTAAAGTGACAGTGTGAGCAGGTTGCCATGGTTACACTTTTGTTTCACTCCAGTGATTACCTAAACAAAAATAAAATTCTGCGATCTGCTTTTAACTGGCAGGTGACATAATCACCGGTTGTGGGTAGTGAAAAACAATGAAACTGATATGTACATATTTAGATATGGAAATGGCTTGTTAGGAATGGCACATTTTAATGTGGTAGGAGGTTTCTATTATTCACTACAGCTGGCCTGCACATTTTCTACTGTAAAGTATGCACTGTAATATAATTCAAATGCTCACACTGTAAAGGAATTTCAGAGTAGGAGTGTGGATTTTGTCGGGGATACAAGATAAATGGGGCATGTGTCTCCATTGATGTTTTAAGAGTGATGGATTTTATGTGTGTGCATTCAGAATGTAGCCACTTCATATGACACTTACCAGATCCGTATTATCTTCTACCATTATTTTTTATCTTTATGTCGAAAATATACATTTTTGTAATTCCTTTCATTAAACAACCAATAGAATTGGATAAGGAATAATGGACTAAAAGTACATTCCTATAGATAACAATTGAATTTTTATCACTTTTGGCAGTCATCTGAACTTGGGTCTTTAAACATTTCTGAGAAAATGAACAATTTTACTTTGGTCAAACTTTTAAGGTTTTTCAGTTGTGCCTTTTTCATATATGTGTATATATAAACCTTTTCATGATGGTTGTTTGTCAGTCATCTTTATGGATCACTAAGTTACGTAACTGCACAAATTGCATGGGGTTTCAAGGCCCTTTACATTAAGAACAGACCAGAGACATAACAGGGTCTCATGCCGTATTTCGGAACTTTCAGCCAAGAAGCAGGATGGCGCTGCGGCGATGGAAATGCAGCCATTGAAGAGTGCAGAGGGCGAGGATGCAGACGAGAAAGAGAGGAAGAAGACCAGTGTGTCCAAGAAAGAGAAATCTGTCCTTCAGGGCAAACTGACCAAGCTGGCCGTCCAGATCGGCAAAGCAGGTATCGTACAAAATCATTGAGATTAATATATTCATCTCCATACTGCAGTCTCAAAGCCTGAAAAGCTCTTTTTATGTGCCCAGCTTTAAATCACATCTAAATTTTAATACCAAACGATGTGTTAAATCTGCTGTCTCTGAGCTCTAATTTTACTTTGAATGTATGTGTCATTGATCAGTTGCTCGTTTATAAAGAGTTAAATGTATATAGTGGCTAGACTTCTGTCCTTGACAGCTGGTGGTGCTGCTGTAGACCAAATTACACATGAGGACCCACTACCTCCCCAGGTATAAAGCAAAGCAGTATCATAGACAGCATGTCTGTCTTTTGTGTTCCACAGGTCTGGTGATGTCGGCCATCACAGTTATCATTCTGGTGCTCTACTTTGCCATTGATAACTTTGTCATTGCGAAGAAGCCATGGATGACGGAATGTACACCTATCTACATCCAGTATTTTGTCAAGTTTTTTATCATTGGGGTTACTGTCCTGGTTGTAGCTGTTCCTGAGGGTCTTCCTTTGGCAGTTACCATTTCTCTGGCCTACTCTGTCAAGGTACGACCGCCGAATGTGACTTGTTTTGCCAACCGGGGGCTTTGAGTCTTGTAGGTCGTGTGTTCTTGGTGCGTCTTTACCTAATGGGTGGATGATATGTCGTTTCTTGTGAACAGAAAATGATGAAAGATAACAACCTAGTACGGCATCTTGATGCCTGTGAGACAATGGGCAACGCCACAGCCATCTGCTCGGACAAAACGGGCACACTCACTACCAACAGGATGACTGTGGTGCAAGCCTATGTGGGAGATGTTTACTACAAGGAGGTCCCTGACCCAGATGCCCTGCCATCCAAAACCCTGGAAATGCTGGTCAACGCCATTGCCGTAAACAGTGCCTACACCACCAAGATACTGGTAAATACGTTCTAACATAAATAAATAAAATTTAGCATCTTTTTTTTTTTAATTCCTTCATTATCTCACTGATAAAAAAAGCTCATAGTCCTTATAACAACCAGAATATATGAAGATAAAAAAAACCCCACTAAACTCTCGTCTATAGGTTTGGGTTGGATAACTCAGAGTTTAACAGTGTTCCCCAATAAAAGCCTGAAGCCATGAATGCTGGAACAAAAATGAACCAGCTAATTCCAACCACCATCCCATGATGTATTGTGTATTAAGCTGTACATTAATTAAACCTTTCCCTTTTAGAATCACATTATAAATCAATATGTATGCATTTCAAATTAGTAGGGGGCCCAAAGCACAGTACTTTAAAATAGAAACAACCAAAGGTACTAAAAGTTAATTAAAACACACTTAAAGAGTGCATACCGTGGGACATGTCCTAAATTCTGTTCTTTATGGTGAAGGCATATTTTTTTCCCAATTTAGAGAAGTACGTCTTTTGATGAGAGCAGGATGCCCGAAAAGGATTCAGGAATCTATTTATATTTCACTGGATGTTTGATATTGGCCTCAGTGCTTAAGAGTTTGGACTGTAAAAAAAAAAAAAACATCACTTTTTGGTTCTATGGGGTTGCGGTTCTTCAAAAGAGGAACCTCAGTCTGAGTGCGGGGTGGATGAGCAAAGTGCGAAAATACTTTAGATGGCAAGACAGCCCCTCATTTCAGACAGCTGCGTGACCTTAGCAATCACAACCTGACTCTGGTTTTTATTGGAACTTGCCCTACATGATGGGGACCTGAATACTTCTTTCAGACTGGAGCTGTTTGGCAGGAGTTAGCAGCAGTTTAATCAAGAGCCGTACTGTATGTATCTCCCAGCTGTGGCCTTGAGGCTGATAACTGGCTTTACGGTCTTGCCTAATGCAGGATCATCAATGGGAAGATTAAATCCCATTATCATCTATTGAGGCGGAGGGCCCTGTTTACCGGGGCCACATAAATGCAGCAGGGATAAGAAAAATGTTAAAGATTTTTAAAAGCACATTCCTCTGCCATTATTTTCTGGGTTTCATAAAGGGATGCCATTTTAATGTGCATCATTGTGCAAAATGGGCCGTCTACCCCAGTTTATGGGCAGGATACTTCTCATGGCGGTCGAACCAAAAACATCATCACCCCACACAAATGTCACCCCGTCAACACTGGGGAACCAATAACGTGAGCATGCTACACTTGAGAGTGAAGTCACACAAGGTTAAAAAATCCATTAGAGAGGGATAAGAAGTGTAGTTTCGCCTCTCTCAAGGTAGCATGCTGTAAATATGTCTTGTGAATTTGCAGTGGCTGTTCTGGGGTAATTAGCAATCAATTACATGAAAGGAAATGGATGGAAGATCTCAGCTAAGTGCCTGATTATGTTCTGGCATACAGTAATAGTGCAGATTAGCAATTTTTTCCGATTTATATAACCTTTTGAATCTAACTGAGCCCAATATTACCATTTTTTTACATAGTATCCCAACAGTCAGCATTAAAAAGAAATGCTTTAGATATGCTAAAGAACAGCGAGAAATATGAGAAAAATACTGCAATGTGTGAATATAAAATAGTGTAGTTTGTTTCCATAGCCTGTGATGATAGCTGGCTAGCTAGATAGAGATTACTTTTATATCACACAGGGAACATGAAAATATCACAGTACTTTCCAGGAGCGTTACATGTATGACAGCAGTGCATGCAGACGTCCTGGGGCCTCCTGTGTGTCTGTCCACTGGCTGTGACACACCCCTTAGCAATAAACCCATGTGCCTTGTACAGATTCTGGCCAGAAACATGCTGAGTGTGCTTACTGTGCAGAGAACATAAAGGTTGATAAGCCATACAATGGGCAGTCTGTTCTATGCAGTATTTGTACCAAGTGCTTTTTAGGTTTAGCAAACTGAAATGATTTTTCTTAAAAAGAATGTCTCACGACATCAGCGATAATCCCAGCAAAAGACCTTAATGATCTGAGTGTAACTGTAAGCAACAAAAAAATGTCTCCATAGCACAAACCGAAATAGCCTAGATTTAAAGTAAAACCATATATAAATACAAGGCAGCAGTAGCAGTAACTTTCCCAGTTATGAAATGGAATAATGCTTGTGATTTGCAGGTTTACAACAATAGTTTTAAGGTGCTCTCCAGTTAGTATAGTGAGTGTATTATTACAACTCATGCTGGCCACTCGATGTCAGTGCCATGCTTTTTCATACACACTCACTTACGAGTAAGGTTAGGGTCCCATGGCGGCCTAGAAAATCCATTTCATTTTTGATGATGCACTTCTATTGAAACTAGAAAAAAGGACTGAGTCACTGGGCTATAAATAGCACAGCCCCCCCTTGCGATAGCACTAGATGTTGGGAGACCCCTCTGAAGAGACATGGCGACAACCTTTCGTCTCCCTCTTTGAAAGCGGACGGCCCTTTTATTATAAACGCCGTGATGTCAGCAGTGAGCCGTCGATAGCTCCCAGAGTTCCCAGCCGGCATCTCTCAGTTCTCCTGTCTGCGCCGGAGGCAAATTGAAGAGTTAATGCGGAAACGACCTTTCTGGGGACGCAGTCGGGGCCTCGGGTGGCCCGCGGCTTCAGGAATGTGGAATGAGGGCTCTTGCGGTGGGGAGGGCATGTCGAGGAACAGATTTCGGTTATGAGGAGGACGAGCTGTAGAGGAAGTGCGCGTGCCAGGCCGCTCCCTACCATATGCTGTGCCGTGGCAGCGTGAGCGTCGACCAGTGAGAGGGCAGCTGCTCGACTGCGTCGCCCCACGTGGTACTGCGCACGGGCGGCTTCGGAGGAGGCCCAGTATTCGACGTGAACCTGCAGCTCCTTTTCTGATTACGTCTGCAGCTAGGATTATAGTCCACATTTTATGTTCCTTGTTTATGGCTACATCCTGTTCTGTGTTTTATGGATTTTTTTTGCGGCTTGTATACTGAAAAACATCTCCCCCAATCTCCAGTGCATTGTCCCAACGCTGGTTAAATAAGTGTATAATATTTCTTCTATAATAAAGCAATGATGGCAACATTCTTTGGTAACATCATTGCTGGACAGAACAGAAAACCAGCAGTAAAAGTACAGAAACCACCACTCAAACACAAATACCCACTAAGCCTGTATTAATACTGAAACATGTAGTAGTAAGATTTAATGCATTTAGCATCATATGAAGAAATACCTGTAGTTACTGTTTGTAATCATGGAGGGGCTCAAATCATTAGTTGTTACAGTACTTGATTCATCAGGTATGGGCTTCTGCCCCCCCGGATCTGGTTGGTGTTAGAGATCTGACTCAGTGAGGAAATGAGCAAGCAGTGGCAAAGTACCAAAGGCTAAGCAACTGACTCCAGAAGCTTTAGATCAGATGCATTGGACTCCACAGATACAAAGATGGCAGACAGCAACACTACAGCAAAGGGAAGCATCAGTGCCCCTCAGAAACGCAGTAGGATGCAATCTACTTTTTCTGCCATTTCCTGAAACGGGGGACAAGCAAGAAGTAATGAGCAGGCGGACTGCTGTCGTGTGTCTTTGGTGGTTCTGAGCAGCGCCGGCTGAAGCCCATGTGGCAGCCTAGGCAAGCTTCAGCAAAACTGCGGCATGGGAAGCAGAACTGGATTAGCTTTTAATTGCCAATATAGCTCAATAGCTAAAGCCAAAGAGCAGCTATAATCCAAATGACTAGGCTTTAAGCAGGATAAGCAGAGAGACCACACCATACTCACCACCATACTTGTAGCATACTACAAGTAAGAGTCCAGTGGGAGAAGCTGGTAGGTCACCAACAGAAAGACATAAAAAAGCATCTCAAGACATCACAAGCCGATCTACAATATTAGGTTCAGCAAGGCTACCTATAGGCCCTCCCCAAGAATGGATTAGGTGCATTTCTTCATACTGTGAGTCCAGAGACCTGGGCATCATAACTACATATAGATGGTAGAGCCTTACATAAGAGTAGGTGTTTGGTATATTGTAAGAGTCTCTGCTCTTTTCTGTAATTTACACATGTTCTTCACTTTTAGAAATGGGGTGTTAGGGTCCACCCCCTATATTCCGATTGTATTTCAACAATTGCTGCCCAGTGTGAATCTCCTTAATTCTGATCCAGCTCCATTTACTTTGGTCAGAAAATGGACGGCAGTGCACAGATTTAGGTGTTGGCCAGAATGATCCTACATGCCTTAAAGACAATGGCCATTGTCTATAGGCCAGTGGTTATCCGCTGTTTTTTATCCAAGGACCCCCTGTGTCCAGGAAAATAAGCTTGCCCCCCCCCTACACAGGTTACGATATTGCTTCTTTAGTATGCATTCTGCATGTTATTCGCCATCACATTCAAGTTGTCACTTTCTATTTTTAATCATTTAACTTTATCCCTGTCTTGCACTCTTGCACTTTCAGAATGCAGAAGATTAAATTAACAGACAAACAATAAATTTGTTATCCTGATTGCAAATAGATGAAAACAACTGCAAATGTAGAAATGCTGTGAGAGCTTTTATGATTATGATCAGTAGAGATATAAATTGACAATTATACATTCAGTGAACAGCAGTGTTATTTTTTGGGTACACAAACAAATTCCACTGAAAGTACCATTAAAATACTTTGTTTAAATCCACCAAAAGAGCAGAGCAGTTTTTCTTTGAAAACTCACAGCACCATATAAAAATATTTTGATTTAAAACTTGGATTCAATACAGTTAGATTTAGCATTATCATTGTTATTGAAATTCTAAATCAATTGATTTAGAGAGAGGGGTAGTATGGTGACTGAATGGGCAGCACAGTTGCCTCACACCTCCAGAGGTGAGAATTTGATCCATTCTTTGTGTGGATTTTATACACCAATAAGCCAAACATGAAAACCACCTGCCTAACAGTGTGTAGGTCCCCCTTGTACTGCCAAAGCAGCTCTGACCTGTCACTCCACAAGACCTCTGAAGGTGTCCTGTGGTATCTGGCACCAAGATGTTAGCAGCAGATCCTTTAAGTCCTGTAAGTTGCAAGGTGGTGCCTACATGGATCGGACTTGGTTGTCCAGCACATCCCACAGATGCTGAGTCTGAGGAATTTGGAGGCCAAGTCAACAACTTGAGCTCTTTTTCATGTTTCTCTAAGCATTTCTGAACAATTTTTGCAGTGTGGCAGTGTGCATTATCCTGCAGAAAGAGGTCACTGCCATTGGGGAATACCACTGCCACGAAGGGTGGTACTTGGTCTCCAGCAATGTTTAGATAGGTGGTATGTGTCAAAGTAACATCCACATGAATGCCAGGACCCAAGGTTTCCCAGCAGAACATTGCCCAGAATATCACACTGCTTCCGTTGGCTTGCCTCCTTCCCATAGTGCATCCTGCTGCCATCTCTTCCTCAGGTAAACGACGCAGAAGCACCCGGCCATCCCACATGATGTAACAGAAAATGTGACTCATCATACCAGGCCACCTTCTCCCATTGCTCCATCGTCCAGTTCTGATGCTCACGTGCCCATTGTAGGCGCTTTTGGCGATGGACAGTCTGCAGCTATGCAGTCCTACACTCAGCAAGCTGTGACGCACTGTGTGTTCTGACACCTTTCCATCAGAGCCAGCATTAACCTTTCCAGCAATTTGTGCTACAGTAGCTCTTCTGTGGCATTAGACTGGACAGGTTAGCCTTCGCTCCCCATGCGCATCAGTGAGCCTTGGACACTCGTGACCTCTTTGCCGGTTCACTGGTTGGCCTTCCTTGGACCACTTTTGGTAGGTACTGACCTCTGCATACTGCAAAAACCCCATAAGACCCGCCGTTTTAGAGATGCTCTGACCCCGTCGTCTAGCCATCACAATTTGGTCCTTCTCAAAGTTGCTCAGATCCTTACGCTCGCCCATTTTTCTTGCTTGAACACATCATCTTCAAGGACTGACTGATTGTTCACTTGCTTAATATACAATGGAACCCTTGACTAATGTCATTGTAATGAGATAATCCAATGTTATTCATTTCACCTGTAAATGGTTTTAATGTTATGGCTAATTGGTGTATGTTATATGGGATTATGGGTATTCTCATTCCTTCCGACAGCGCACAGACAGGCAATTGAGTGAATTAGCATCTTTCATTTGTGTATAATGTGTGCTTTTGTGTCCCCTGCAATGGGGCGGCATTTCATATAGGGTGTGGAGGATAAGAATGACCCCATATTGATATGGTTATTTTCAACAGAATATAATTTGAGGAAATTATACTGAAGTACATGGAACAGAGGGCTATTTATGTCCTTCCATTCATGTTACATCTCTTCTTTGTTTTGCCTGTGAAATCAGTGGAAAATTCCATTTCCATGCCGTCTACGTTTGCCTGAAATTGTCCAGTTTTGTGGTTAACTTCCAGCAATCGATTTCTTAAAGTCACAACACAATGATATTTTTATTGAATGACAAGGTCCCTCTAATATCCGTCTATTCCCCTAAACTTGGCGATTTGTGAGGTCTCGCGGCCTATAGTGTTATCGCAGTTAAATAGGAAGCTGGCAGCTCTTCAGAGGTAAACCAGTATTTGGTACGGTATAGTCAAATAATTGTTCACAAATGCATCATGCATCTGTCCGTGTTCCTGCAGCTCCCTGACAAGGAAGGTGGCCTACCTAAGCAAGTGGGCAATAAGACCGAATGCGCCCTTCTAGGCTTCGTTCTAGAACTGAAGCGTGACTATCAACCAATCCGTAACATGATCCCAGAGGAAAAGCTCTACAAGGTCTACACCTTTAACTCCGTCAGAAAGTCCATGAGCACAGTCATTAAGATGCCTGGCGGTGGCTTCAGGATGTTCAGCAAAGGAGCGTCAGAGATCGTGCTGAAAAAGTGAGTCTGCATGAGTGCGGAATTGAAGAGCCACTTCCAAAATTCACTCAGACCACCGGATACGCTTTCCAGAACATTTCTGTGGACTTTGGAGTGAGTTTTAGAAATTTAACAAAAGTTCTTCTTTGGATTGACTGAGTTGTGGTTCCCAAAACAGTGACATATGGTAAAGGCATCCTGACTCCAAGCAGTCATTGGCCGTCTCATCTCAAAAGCAACAAAAAAATAGACTAAATGAGTGTTGGAAATTTGCTCTTCAATTGTATCTTGAGTCAGGGTGCCCCTGCTATGTTTAGAAAACATTCCAGGTAGTCATTACTACGTTTCAAAATATTGATTTGTGGATCAGCACTGTGTTTGAGAACAAGATATCCTCTGAACATTTGGATAAAGCTAGCCCTGTGTTGAACGGCATTCCTTCTCCTGTGCTCTCACTTGCCCCAATAGGTGTGCTCAGATCCTGAATGGGGCGGGGGAGCCACGTATCTTCCGCCCACGGGATCGGGATGAGCTGGTAAAGAAGGTGATTGAGCCCATGGCCTGTGATGGCCTGAGGACCATCTGTGTGGCATACCGTGACTTCCCTGCAGATCCTGAGCCCGAGTGGGATGACGAAAACAATGTTGTCACCAACCTGACCGCCATCTGTGTGGTTGGGATTGAGGATCCAGTTAGACCAGAGGTATGGTCATCACAGATGAGTTAATCAGATAGCAAGTAGCTTTTAAAAAAAAAAAAACGAAGCAATGAAATTTCAGAGTATACTTTTTAAAATACAAGGAGTCTTACAAAATTTCCAAAAGGAGGTGTCTCTCAGTTCAATGAATGTGGCAAATATTACTTTAATGCCATCTGCTACGGTTCTGATTTCCTCAGTATGGGAATCATGTGAATATCTTGTGAAAACACTGATTAATTTTCATACTATATATAGGTATGTTATATCTTAATAATGAACATATATTTAAGCCAGATAATACTTTCAAATCAAGCCTTACTCCATGTTGTATCCTAAATCTATGCCATATTGACATGAAATCCAATATTTTTTGAAGAAACCAGATACATATACTGTATAATTCAGCATCCTTACGTTAAAAAAAAAGATGTACATTATAAAGAATTCGGCTTAACAGAACCCCTTGGAAAATGAGGTTGTTTCACAGTGTGTCCCAAGCAGCTTGTCTGCCCCAATATAACAATTAGAACCTTGTCTGAATTATTCAGTCCAGCTCCTCTTATCTCTCCAATTCCTTCCCTCCGTTCCTTTCAGCCTCCAAGGCTGCTGCTCTGTGTAGCTGTCAGCACGAAAACAATTCCCACAACAAAGCAATGAATCACATGCAATTTTTTTTTATTGACAGACTACCCACTGACCACAGGAAGGCTGCATCTCCATTCAAAGTGTTATATATATATTTCAAGTCATTTTCAGGTCCCCACAAAGATCCGTGAATGCAATCAAAAAAGTTAAAACGCCAAAAGTCTTGCATTTCGTTTGGTTACTTATGGTTAAAGTTAGGGCTGGGTAGGAGTTAAGGTCGTCATGTTGGGATTAGAGTTTTCCCCATACAAATGAATGGAGAGTCCCGACAAAGATATTATTACAAACCTGTGTATGTGCATGATAAGATAAGATAAGATAAGATAAGATAAAAGATAAGATAAGATTGACAAATATCTTGTCCTCCCCGTGCAGGTGCCTGATGCCATCCGGAAGTGCCAACGTGCGGGCATCACAGTGCGCATGGTAACTGGGGACAATATCAATACCGCCCGTGCCATTTCCATTAAATGTGGCATCATTCAGCCAGGGGAGGACTTTCTGTGCATCGATGGGAAGGAGTTCAACAGGAGGATCCGCAATTCGAAAGGAGAGGTACTTCCCTAGGCAGCGTGCGACATATAGTCTTTCCTTTAACCTAACAAACCTTAATTCAGTCACACAAAGCTCTGTTATTCTGTCTTGCAGTAACTATCCAGAACCTAACCTGACTAAATTCAGTTTAGCAAACTCAAGCCACATTGGGTGGCATCATAGGAAACCCTGTTGTCTTATACTTCCTGGATTCAAATCCCTCCCCCACTTCATGTTTGGAGATTGAATGTTTTCCCTTTTTCCTGTGGGGTTCTTTCCACAGCCCAAAGACATGCACTTATGTGAATTGGTGTTCTTTAAATTGCCCCTAATGTTTGTGTGCCTGGTGAGGGGTTGGCATTCTTCCTTGCCTGGTGTTCTATGCACACCTGGGATCGGCTCCAGCTCCTTTCCCCAGCAATTCTGTTCTGTTCATTGCTGACGCTGGGTTGTTGTTTTTATGGTAAAACCATGTCAGATAAAATAAGATATACAGGGAAACTTAATTTCAGCTAGGCAGGCAACTTGGCTTCTGCTTGAAAATGAAATATGTTGTTTTATTTCATATATGATTTAGTTTTTGTATGAATTTGTTGTTATATTCCCATACACACACCATTTTTATTGACAAGTTCCGGAAATTGAATGGCGTTTTTGATTCTAACATTCTGTTGGATTTCCATTGTAGGTAGAACAAGAGCGCATCGATAAAATCTGGCCACGGCTAAGGGTTCTGGCGAGGTCTTCTCCGACCGACAAGCACACTTTGGTTAAGGGTAGGGCTTACCTGGGTTGTTCCCCTGTTTTGTGGATGAATTGGAATGCTTTTAAATACTATTATATGTGGGATGAATATGATATGGATAGATGCAGGTTTTGAACTGTAGAAATAAATGTTGTTGTATATTTATTGGATTAGCGATTATGAATGATGGATGGATGTCATTGCCAATGTGATTGATTAGTATAACTTTGCCTAATTCTCCTTTGGTTTAACAGCATGTTTCTGTAAGATTGGTATTTGTGGTTTACCTTAATCGATGGTACAGCGATACCCTGTTGTCTGCAGGAATCATTGACAGCACCCTAGTGGACCAAAGGCAGGTGGTGGCAGTGACAGGCGATGGGACCAATGACGGACCAGCCTTGAAGAAAGCCGACGTGGGCTTTGCCATGGTAGGGAGTGGATCTGTGCTAATGCAGCGTCCTCCAGAGAAGATCCATTTCATAGCAAATCTTACATTCTTTGACAGTATAAAAAAAAAATCCCTTTCATGTGTCACGTTTTAAACAATGCTATTTATTGTACTGAATGCGAAACAATGCTATCTGGTGAGCTCTGGTACAGCTTCTATTATTTGATTCTTACAAATGACAAAAAAACACTTTGGGTCATTTAAAAAAAAAAAAAAACATATGAAAAAATCACAGCCTTTATAGGACTCCATACACATACTGTAGTAATATACAAATTGGAAGAAAATAGGTTTTTTTTTTCTTATTTTGGGCAGCAGTTTTGTCTGTGAATAAAGTGGCAGATTGTATCCTGGACATTGTGACTATCTCCATGTGGGGCCCGTTTGACTTGGGTACTCTTACCCTATGCATTTCATAGGCTTTCTTAACCAGCTCTCAAGCTTCACGTTCTTGGTAATGTGATGGACCATGAGTGCCCCTTGCTGTCCATATTGGGTAAACAACATTTCGGATCGGTAGCTCCATCAAAGCTAGAGATTTTTTTTTATAGAGGCAAAAATAAATAATTCTGCAAGATAGTTTTGCGCTAAAATAATCTTTTTCTGTTAGAGCTGAAAGGTAATAATTGAGAGGAGACATTGTGATTGTGCTGTATTTTTGGCGTAGCTCTTGTCTGTTCTTTCCCTGGGGAAACATCTAAGCATTCAGACACCTCATGGGAGAAAGATCCCCTAGGGTTTGTCTAAGGACGTCATAAAAACCTTTGACTATACTCTGACACAATAAAAACCTTTGACTACGCACTGACACAATATAAACCTTTGACTATACTGTGACACAATAAAAACCCTTGACTATACTCTGATAGACAGGACTGATGCTACATACTTACAACATCCCTATATCATGCAGTTTAGTCTCATCTGTATAATTTGATTTCAGAAGGAAAGTATATTATCTGTGTAAAATGGAAGCTTTGTTTACCGACTCCCCCTACAGCAATGTAGCTCTATCAACATTACTGGTTCTTGAAAGATTTATGAAGTCCTCTTATTTGAATAATGTGTGTGTTAGGACTTTAGCGTGGTTGAAATGACTGCTCTCTCTCCTCCCTGACAGGGAATTGCTGGTACAGACGTAGCCAAGGAGGCCTCTGATATCATCCTAACCGATGACAACTTCTCCAGCATAGTGAAGGCCGTGATGTGGGGGAGGAACGTCTACGACAGCATCTCCAAGTTCCTGCAGTTTCAGCTGACCGTAAATGTTGTGGCGGTGATTGTGGCTTTCACTGGGGCGTGCATCACTCAGGTACATGCGCAGATCACGAAAAAGGGGGACACCAATAGTTACCGAATTAAAATATTTGATAAATCTGTTAAAGATCTATTTTTTTTTTAAGTAAAATGGTGATAAATAGTGAAAAAGACGAGCTGAGGGAGTCACATGATCTGATGTTTGTGTTTGTTCTAGGACTCTCCGCTGAAGGCTGTTCAGATGCTGTGGGTGAACCTCATTATGGACACCTTTGCATCGCTGGCGCTGGCCACCGAACCACCAACAGAGGCCCTGCTGATGAGGAAGCCCTACGGTCGCAACAAGGCGCTCATCTCTAGTACAATGACGAAGAATATTTTGGGCCATGCCATCTACCAGCTCACCATCATATTTACGCTCCTTTTTATTGGTATGTATAGGAAGTGTGGAGTACACTATGCATGTGACTATATGCTAAGGCAGTTCTCAACATGAAAGTGTCCATTTTTATCCATACCAATATATACCAGGTAACAGTTCAATCTATATGGCTGTACGATGTTTGTGCATGAAACGTCACAAGGATTTACTATTTCACACATATTAGTAGCAAGTGAGTGTTTCATAGAGTAAAAAGTCTGATGTTCTGATGTTATTCTCCATCAGGTGAAGAGATCTTTGACATTGACAACGGAAGGAATGCTCCTCTTCACTCGCCGCCCTCTGAGCATTACACCATCATCTTTAATGCCTTTGTCATGATGCAGCTGTTCAATGAGATCAATGCTCGCAAGATCCACGGGGAACGGAATGTTTTTGAAGGCATCTTCAGGAATCCTATCTTCTGCTCAATTGTGTTTGGAACTTTTGGTATTCAGGTAACAAGGGTTGTAAAAGTAAGGGTACATATGGGGTGAGCAATATATACACAATGTACCACTCTACATGCAACACAAACATGTGGTGAATATATATATATCACACACACACACACACACACACACACACACACACGCACATACACACACATACATACACAATCATTCAATACAAAGACACAACATGCAAACTGAAACCCAGAAGAACACAACATTACATAGGTGGAGAATGAATGAATGAGCAAATGAATGAATGGATGAATGAATGGATGAATGAACAAACAGATTTTTCCAGCTTGTATGCTTATTTTGACCACAAAGACAAGCCCTTGTTTACAAAACTACACACATGACATTGGCAACAAACAGGAGATGCCAAACTGCCACAGTTCTCTGTAGTTCCTGAGCTTCTTCCCATTACTGCTAAACTTTCCCTGTTTCTGTGCTGCTTTCAACCCATTAAACAGGGGTACAAATACATAACTATCACAAGCACAGCAGGACAGATTCCAGCCCACCAGGCCCCGCGGTAGCGCTAGGTTTGAGTACCTAGCAGAGTGGCCCTTGGTCAAGTAAGGGTTAGTGCATGACAAGACATGCATTGTACGTTTATAAAAGCACGGCTGCTGGGGTGAAATGTAGGGGGGTTTCCACCATGGAGTGAGTAAATGTAGGGGGGTTTCCACCATGGAGTGAGTAAATGTAGCTGGGTTTCCACCACGGAGTGAGTAAATGTAGCGGGGTTTCCACCACGGAGTGAGTAAATGTAGGGAGGGTCTCCACCACAGAGTGAGTAAATGTAGGGGGGGTTTCCACCATGTAGTGAGTAAATGTAGGGGGGGGGGGTTTCCACCACGGAATGAGTAAAGCGTGTAATGCATGGCTTGGAGTGCAGTAACCTGCTTATTCCACGTTTACTGCACATTCAGCGTCTACATTTGTACTTATTTACAGGGTAGAAATGCATTTATTAGTAGAATTACTTTCTTCTACCAACGATTAGACATTTTCATTTGCTTTCCATTACATTTTAAATTGTGTTCTACATCTGAAATTCTAAGTAATGCTATTTTAGATTATATAGTGCATCGACTAACTACTGTGATTTGCCTGGCTGGCACTAGGTGTGCAGTTAAATTAATTAAATTAATGAATGCGATTAGAAATTAACTAACATCCTTCTGAGATTTGAGAATACAACAGTGCTGTGGTATAAGTACATTTAATATCTGTGGTGTCACAGGGTGTAAAAAAAGTTGTTATTTATTGCTAAAACAGTAACTATAATGGAAAACCATTTCAGTGACAGAGCCCTTTTCCCACCTTCAGATTGTGATTGTGCAGTTTGGAGGAAAACCATTCAGCTGTTCTCCTCTGGACCTAGACAAGTGGATGTGGTGTATTTTCCTGGGCATGGGTGAGCTTGTCTGGGGACAGGTAGGTTTTCATGTATTCATTGTTCTTATTTAAACACATATGTATTTTGACCTCAACATGATTAATTGTTTACCATTTATTGTTATTTTCCATTAGTAAAACCAAAGATAAACCAAATGAAGTAAACAACCACCATCTTGTAATAACAGATTTTGAGGCCACTTCTGGATGGGCTCATGGGAGTTTTACTTATACAAAAATGTTCTGAGGACAGAACGAAAAAAATAATTGGTTCAGAGAGATAACCAATCAGATTGTAGAGGAGGTGGGTCCAAGTGACTAGAGGAGGTGAGACCAACCAGTCAGATGTCTTGATTCCGTCTCCTCTAGCTGCTTGAACACACCTCCTCTACAATCTGATTGGTTATCTCTCTGAATCATTTTTCATTCAATCATTTTTCGTTCAGTCCTTAGAACAGTTTTGGGTTAGTGAAACACCCATGAGCTAATGAATTGATCTTCTATAAACACGGACATATTTGCCAGTAGTATACAACTAACTATGTAAACAAATTTACAAAATTCACATTTTTTTTCTTTTTTCTTTTTCTAATTTGTATTCTTGCATAAGGTAATAACGACAGTTCCCACAAACTGGCTTAAGTTCCTAAAAGGGGCTGGCCGTCTTACGTACAAGGAGGATCTTCCGGAGGAGGACATGAATGAGGACAATGAGGAGATAGATCATGCTGAGAGAGAGTTACGCAGAGGGCAAATTCTTTGGTTCCGTGGCCTGAACCGGATTCAGACTCAGGTAGCAGAACTTCCATAACCTTTGTTAATGTGGTTTCTGTATTATCATCATTACTCAAACTTGTTTAGATGATTGTTAGCCTTGTGGTTGTTATGTTTTGGAGTAAATATGTGTTTTTATTTACAGAAAACTCCATTTCTTTTAATCTTGGCCTGGATTGTGACATGATAAGAAATGGAAAATTGTGTCATGTTGTGTTTAAATGTTGGACATTGTCACACAACCTTGTTTGCATCCTGCATCCACGCATCCTGCCTCAATTATGCTATCAACTATGTAAGACTCTCCAATGGGAAAAAGCCTCCATGGCAATACAGAGAACCTCTGACTAAACTATTTCATCAATCTCACCATCATTTTCAGCAGCAGATGGCGGAAGGACCACAGGATTTCCATGGAGTAACATTCCGCTGAAGTTTGTTTTCTTAAACACTAAAGTAGAATGAGTACTGTGCAACGAAAGTTCTCCAAGTTCAGAGTTTCTAAGTTCTCAAAACTTCATAAACATTTTGCAGTAATCGATTAGACCTTTCCCTATATACTGAATCATTTTTGAGAACTTGTGATGCCACAACAAGGGAGAAGTCTGCTATCATTGTCCCACCTAAGCCACCTGTCTCACTTTGTCCTCCATTGCAGATCGAGGTCATGAACTCCTTCAAGAGCAGCACCTCCATTCAGGGGGTCCTAAGTCGGCAGTCCTCCACAACCAGCCAGAACCAGGATGTAATCCATGTGTCTAGCCCCAGTCATGTGTCCTTGTCCAATGCCGTTTCCTCCCCCGCCAGCCCCATCGTCACCCCTCCTAGCCGTGAGTCAGGGCTCTCGGTGTGTAACCCAGGGATGCCCCCAGCCCATGACGATTCTGACTTTCACCCTAGAGTGGAAACTCCACATCAGGCTGTGTCTAATGTCCTTCAAGTTCTCTAGTTACCCGGAGTCAGGGATACATAAATCTTTCAGTCTAATCTTTTAGTCATATTAATTAATTTCCATGCATCCATCTAGTAACTACTTGGTAACTACCTGGTCAGGGTTGCAGGATTAATAAATTAGTAACAAACAAATACAAAATTGAAGATCTTGAGCTGGGTGGCATTTCTAAGTAAAACTACAGTATTTAATGACATGGGTGTCCGTGGTTCCACTTGTCTGTTTTGCACTCAGTTCCTTCCTGTTCAGGAGGACGGGTGGTCTGTCTGAGTGTTAAATGTCTTTTCCCCCAGAGTGCTGAAGAGCTCTGCACTAAGGGTCTCGGCTGAAGCCCGAATCTCAGCTTGTGAGTCCTTCCATTCTTTCTCCGTCTCCCAGCAACACCCTCATCAGGCTGGGTAAACATTCAAGTAGATGCCAACATTATGAAACCCTCAATCAGACTGCAATTAGACTTCACTCATCATACACAGGGGTTTGCTGTGCTGAGCAGCTATATAGGGCAGGTGATATAGCACTGAGGGGAAATACTAGGATCATCTAGGAGAAAGAAAATCAAGGTTGAGAGCAGGACCCCTGTAATTCCAGTGTTACTGTCCACTCTGCCATCTGTGTTGTTAAATTAGAGGCCATGAGTCCTTTGTTTTGGCAGTATCTTTGTGATTTATCGCAAACGCTGGTCTCTTCTGCATTTCAACATTGTCATAAATCAGAACTCCAGATTTTTCAGACTTCATTAACTTCCATCTGGTACAACTCAATAGCACAAAAAGTACCTTTCATGCCCTCAAACAGTAACCGTTTCATAATATATAGCTGGTCACAGCATTAAAAGACAAATAAAACACAGTCTTTTAGGTATTGAACCTATGCTATGTTACAGTGTCTTGAGTGAGTTCTTAATACTTCATTTTTATGTATTTTGAGAAATTACATTACAGTTTATATTACAGTTTTTCTTTATAAAACTCCTAGCTTTACTCACATTTTGACCTATAATAGGAAGATACAAGAAGCCATCGGAACAGATGAAGCTTGAGTGTTCCCAGCTTCACACTCTCATGGGGAGGGCGCTGCTGGGAGAACGACATATCCAGGCTTTGTCTTCCTGCTGTCTGTGTTTTCGTGTTCATCAGTGAAGTGGCGTATTGTCTACCAAGGGCAATCAAATGAAAAATGACCTTTTGATATGTGGTATTCCAGTTGTAAAAATGATGGCATGTCTTATTCTGCATCTAAAGCAGTGACTATATACATCAGCCTGCTTTAGGTAGCGTGGTAATTTACAGGTCATTATAAAATGGCAATGCTAACATAAATGTTTAATTTTTTAACAGATACATCAAATGCATTAATGAAATGCCAATTGTGTCACAAGTGTTTCACTCACCTGTACTCCAGTCGGAGTCAAGTGAAGTGACAAATAAATGAAAAACTATTTGAATTTGATTTGAAATATTAAAAATGTCTATACATCTCAATTTTTCAGTTATTATAACTACAAATGTATTGACCAAATAGTCTGGTTTCCTGTAATTCCTATTAGTTCAAAACGAAAAAACATATCAAATTGTGATTTTTCATTGAAGAGTCCCTTCAAAATACTCGTCCAATGTGTTATTTGTGACTTTCTTTTGAGCTTGTGATCTGCATTCATTGTGTTTTGAAGATGTGCATTTTTGACATCTTTCAAACTCCTGTCTTCTTTACCTCTTTGGTTAATATACCATTTTCCACTCTGTCCTTGTTGAGAATCTTGGTGAACGATGTTTTTTCCTGTTCAAATGCCTCCAATGAATGTGAAATCTAATATTTTCCTCCTGCTTACAAATGTATCTCAGGACTCTCTCAGCTTGCATGGGCTTGACATCTTCTGGCATTCTTGCTAACATGGCTTGTCTCTAGGTATTCACCAAGGTGGACCTTATTATTAGGCCTACAAAACCGGTGATGCCTGTGGTGTCTTAAGTTGCTTATCTACAGTTTTATTTACTTTTTTATATATATATAATTTTTTTTATTTGTCCCAAGCAAAATGCTACTCGCACAATGAGTAAATATTGTGTGGGATTAATGACTACGGACAGTTTCTGGTGTCATGATTACCCAGAATCCTCTTTCTTCACAGCCTCACATCCCTTCCCCACTATCCCTCGTTACTGACAACAGATCATTTGTATCCCGCAGATACGTGTGGTAAACGCGTTCCGCAGCTCCCTCTACGACGGCCTAGAAAAGCCAGAGTCACGGACCTCCATCCACAGCTTCATGACCCACCCTGACTTTAGGACGCCAGACTCCCAGCCCAGCATCTCCCTGGTTGACACCTCGACTGGGGAGGAAGACCTGACCCTGAGGCACAGCTCCAGCCAGCTCTCATCACCTACCAAGAACATCAACCCCCTGGACAGCGGCATCTACCTGACCATCGACACCAGTCACTCTTTAGCCTCCTCCAGTCCAGGCAGCCCTCTTCACAGCCTGGAGACCTCCCTCTAGCCCTGACAGTCTGTGCTAAAATTAAAACTGCACAACCTAGGTGTGAACAAGCCAACACGAGTGCCAGATAAGTGTGAAGGTTGGACTGGAGCACTCCTTTACAGCGAATATTTCACGTGGATGGCGGGGAAGGGGGGGGGCGGCTGAATTTCAGTGACGTGATTCGGAAACCAAGTGGCTTGGCCGTTACCTTCTTCCCTTGGAATAAAACTGACTGTATGGATTATAAATTTAAAGAGAAAAACTCTCTTTACTGCTCATGCATGAATGTACATTATCACGTTTTATTTAATTGTGTTAGACTTTAGTTAGGATTTTATTATTTGGGTCTCTTTCAGTGGGAAATGCCCTGGACTGCACGTTTTACGGCAGCTTATCCGACTTAATTTGTCTGTGCGTTTTTGAGGGTCTTGTGCGGCATGGGCTTAGATCAGCAGTTTATTTCAGTAATACTTTGAGAAGCGTGCTAAGGTTGCAGGGCACAACTTTATCAGTGGATTTGCATACATCGGAAAAAAAAGAGACGTTTATAAATAACAATTAAAAATTATAGTTTCCATAAAGAATTCTTCATCGTTTATCGGCATGTTGCCTTGTTTCTGCTTTAGCAGCTCTAACTACTTTAACCTTTGTCCTGATAAGGATGTCATTTGTTTACAGACCTTCCAGGTTTAGGTGTTTAGGGGTACAGTGCTGTGCCGCAGATGCAGCTGGAATGGCTCAAGGTGTCGCATACCTTTGTAACGTCGGAGCGTAGGTGTTTTATTTCAAAATGTGTACTGAATTTGCCTGCTAATGTAGATATTATTAGAAGATAAAGGAAGCCAAAATATAATGAGATATAACAATTACCGTGACATCTTAGTGTAATGATTCTGAGTGGCTTCTTTTATTTCCATATACACAACTTAAGATTATTTTGTTCCGCTTTTAGTTTGAAAATTATTTTTATTTTTATTATTTATTTTTTACTCCGTGCGTAAAATGTATTTGAGATCAACCTCAAATCGGGAATCGGTTTTGAGGAACGTCGAACAGTAATTTTATTGAAATGTTTCCTAAATAAATATGCTTGTTTAAGGTAGTTATTTTTATTAAATTATATGTAACTATCAAAAGCTACAATGGATTCCTAATATACGAAAAACGTGAAAAAAAAAATGAAATTATTAGCTTATATGTATGAAAATCAAACATTGTGTTGAAATCGTGTGCTACATTGTGTATTGAGTATTTTATTTAATTCTTATTTTTAGTTTTAGATTTCTATGTTTCAGTTTACTGAGAAATTCACAATGGAATGTTTTTGAGAAAAAAAACTGCACTCTCCAGATATGAATGAAACTTTGTGGTGTAAACTTTTATGTGCAACTGTATGGGTTTTATCCCAGCTTGTCTTCCTGCAGTCACTACATACACATGCGAAGCCCTATGGAGGTCAAGGGCTGTTATCTATTTTATTGTGTATTTGTGCTCAAAAGGTGTTCAGATGATTTGCCTTGAAAAACAAACAGACAAACATGTGCACCAAGATGCCGGCAGCCACAAGGTATCAGCATCATCCTGACTCATAATCCTCTCATTAAGAAAGAGTGAAGAATTACACAAAATATGCAGGTCAAATTCGCCCTTGTTTTTACTTTGGACCAATCCTTGCATTTGGTTGTTACTGGACATCAGAGAAGCTTCAGAAGGGAATAAATTTTCTAACCTTTTCATGTTGTAACAGCGACGGAAGCATGTAAGAATTATATCATCACCCGTCCGTTTAAAGGCAGAGATGGTGAAAAAAGTGACCGTTGTCTTCTCTTTGTCGATCTTGTGTCAATGTTTTTATTTAATGTTATTTAATTTATTATTTACTGTCACTTTAGGTACCTGGAAACTACCTGTACTTCAAAACGAAAAACTCATCTTTCAAATAAATTGTATCGGCTACATGATATATTCCTCAGGAAACAGAAAACATTCTTGGGTAAAATGAATGCGCACAATTTACGCTTGTGTCAAAGCAGAGAATAAAGGTAATATTTATGTCCCTGATAACACCATTAATGCAGCTAATCTATACTGCTACACATTTTATTGAATACATTTTCCATAGATTTAAGAATGAATTTTAAAAATACATTCACAAACAGGTGATAAATTAACATCTCTATATAGGAACTTGGACTAGGTTGTCCTAGGTTGTTCGGTGTGTGCAGTTTTTCAGACACCTGAACATTTCTGTGCCAGCTTAGTGTTATGCTTGCCAAGATGATTTAGCTTTCTGTGTGTGTTTAATGAGAGCTGCACACACCGTGGTCTCGAAACATGAGGGCGAAGGAAGACTTCTGCGTGGACCAGGGTTCGGGAATTGCCCCGTTTAGACACCTGTTTATTTTAGGGTGCAGTTCTCAGTTACGCTTCATGCTTTCTGAAGATTCCAGCTCATTGCTTCTTAAAAATTCTGATCACTGCTTGTGAATCTACCTCTTAGTGGTTCTGTGTTTTGTTCTAAGCAACGTGAATATTGTGGGATGAAGAAAATACTAAATGCTCAGAGTGCATCTGGTACTCATGCACGTTTGGGCCGTGACGACTGCTGTTCCATCATGTTTTTATGATTTTTTTTTTTTTTTAGATATTCACTATAATTGTAAATAAAAACCTATGTCTTAGTTAATATAATGCTATGCAATAGTCATGCTTTTCTATTGCTATCCGTGAACCTTCTGTTGTGTTTCTGGAACTCCTGCGGTCTGAAGTGCAGTGAACATATAAACTTTGACTTCCAACTAAATTCATCATTTATACGAAATTTTATAATTTTTAAACAATTTTCTAGCTTGGGCAAAGTTGCAGCGTAGGACTGATGTTTGCCAACCTGTATAACACTCGGCATTATGGGCCAAAACAAAGAGGTAAGTACTCAGAACAACACATAACAATACTCTGTTACTCTATCTCTATCACTAAGAGTGTAGAGTAAGCATGCATAACCCGCCGGTATCTCAAGTCATGCTTATTGGTATTACTTGATGTCTTAAAATGAATTTGTCACAGCTAAATCTTTGCACTTTCTTCTTTTATCCAAAGCAACTTATAATTTTTACAGAGATTTCTACTGGTAGAATTGAGGTGGAGTACTTTCCTAAAGGGTACTTTGCTGACTCCTCCAAGGACTTGAACCAGTAATGGGTCCTGTTCCTCTACCTTCCTTTGTGCTATATGTACATGAGCTTATTGCCCATTGTCATTTTTATTGGACAGTTTCAGAACACGCGGATTAGATTTTGTCATAAACTGGATGTGTGATTTAGGACTTTTCAGGTTTATTAGTTACTGTACCTACAATACATAGCGAGTCATCAGCCACTCTGCCAGCAATATACTCTGTATAAGAAAATACTCATTATAATAAAATGTTTCTGTTAATTGAACACAATAACTGGAAAGGACAGCACGTTGTTTTATAAAGTTCATAAACTGTATATCCGTATTAGTCGTGATTTAATTTATGTCAAGCATTGTGTGGCATTCTTCATTGTTCCCTAAAGGTCAACTAGCTGTATGTTTGAAGAGGTATTCAGGGATTTGAATGTAAGGAAAGAGCATTCTCCAAGAAAATGCAAAAAAGCTAATTGTTGCAGGCATAACAAGCAAGTCCCTTGATCAAACAAGCTATTTTTAAACTGGCAATCAAGTGTATCTTGTACCTTAAAAAAAGGTAACGTGCTATAGAGCAAAGTGCTGCCAAGTACTGTGAAAAGGGCATATCCATCAGACCAGCTGGACTGGGCTGTTCAGGTCCGGTATAAAAGTGTGAGAAACCAAAAGCCATTATAGCACACATCCTTCTGCTCACTGATAGCTGGAGCTAAAACCACAGCTAGATCTGTAAAGCCACCCAAGGTAGAAATACAGTGATGGCTAGATCTGTAAAGCCATCCCAGGCATAAATACAGTGATGGCTAGATCTGTAAAGTCACCCAAGGCAGAAATACAGTGATGGCTAGATCTGTAAAGCCACCCCAGGCAGAAATACAGTGATGGCTAGATCTGTAAAGTCACCCAAGGCAGAAATACAGTGATGGCTAGATCTGTAAAGCCACCCCTGGCAGAAATACAGTGATGGCTAGATCTGTAAAGTCACCCAAGGCAGAAATACAGTGATGGCTAGATCTGCATTGCAGAGCCCTGCCAGTGCTTTTAATAGCTGTGCTGAGCCAAACTATATCACACATTTTGGCTGTGACTAAGCTTTTTGAAAGTCTTTTCCCTGTCCCTCATGCAGTTAGGGCACTTTTCACTCCCTTAATCAGGCTGTATCACCATCATGACACAACACTATTTTCATTAAAGAAATATTAACAGTAAGTATATGTCACTCTAAAACTGAACTAAACAGTCAATGAACTGTGCTGGTGTAATCCAAGACATACACACACTCACGCACACACACACACACACACACAAACTATTTTTTTACTAAAAATAGTAAACTATTTTTGTGTGAGACCTAATTATTAACAAAATGTCAAACTTTCTGTTTGGTTTTAAGACAACCCAGTAACATTACAAACCAGCAGAAGGCCACACAGTGCATTTTCAGTAGACTACAGGTGCTTGGTTTCCAGATGGCAAATTTTCCTTAAAAATATTTGGTTCTTTTCTTTTCTTCTTTGCTCAATTTTAAATTACAGTCGTCCGTATAAAAAAAGTGTACCCGATTGCTCAATGCAAGTTAAACGTCCAAATAAACAGTAGGGGGCAGCATATTCACATGTAAGAGTTTCTAAACGATTTGACTATGTTGTAAATCTATTCTATACAAATATTCTCAATTTTACCGAAGTAAAATGAAAGGATTTAAATCAAATTAAAACCATTAAAAAAAGTCAAGGTATCTTTAATAATTTCCAAATATTTGCAATGTATTTCAATACACCAGGAAATAGTGTCCATTTCAGGATCTTCATATGGTTTACTGGTCTCTTAAGATGGAGCAGCACAGTGGCTTGATGGGCTGCACCACTTCCTCACACCTCCAATTTTGTAACCTTAGGAGTTTCGAATCCTGTTCTGAGTTTATTTGTGAGATCTGCACATTCATCCTTCAGCTCCAATTCAGCTCCAATTTCCTCTTGCAGTCCAAAGACATGAGGAAGTGCATTGCAATTACCCATAATGCATGATTTTGTACGATGTGTGTCCCGTGATGGACAGGCGTCCCATCCAGGGTGGTCCACTGCCTTGTGCCCTATGTTGCTTGGAATAGGTTTAAGGCCACCCAACTGGATAAACTGCCGAAAAATTGATGGATAGTACGACAAAATGACTTGAAACCTTTAACATTGTTAATGTCTGTCAGGATATATGTCAATAATACTGGTAGCTATCAGTAGTTACCTCTAATGCCCATCCATGCATCTTAAAATATTCACAATACTTTAAGATCTATTTATATATTTCACAGTTTCGGTAAATAAATTTCTGGTGTGTAAATAATAATTATTAAAGACTGAACACATTTTGTTGATATTATTAAAGTCAGAACTGGCAACATCTAAACAAAAGAAGCAATGGCAAATTATATGGATGCTTTGTGATTTTCATCAGACAAGCTAACAATGATCCTACCATTTTCTCACAGCAGTATTTCTAAAAAAACAGCCTGCAGAACATTATTATGCATTTTGAGATAGGTTGCTATATTCTATTTAACTCTGAGACAAATTTTGATCACCATTTACTCTTCTTACTTCAGAAATACCATAGAACTCCACAATCTTTTAAAAGGTTTTTATAAATCATGGTCAGGAGGTGTGTGCAGTTCTTTTGAAACTCTTAAATAGACATAATTATATTACAGTATACCCAAGTACAACTGTTTTTCCTGACCCAATAAACAGTCACATTACACAGAAGCTGCTGTTGTAAGTTCAGAAATAACCGTCTTACTCTAATCTGCAAATTTATAAAAACATTTTGAAAATACTAAAATCTGTAATACATGCTCCATTGAGAATATATTTTCCTGCTTATTTTTCAGGCAGCCTATTAACATTTGTAGTTTCTATGGTAACCATGTGGTAATAACCTAATAAGCAACAAGTAACAATGCTCTCTGTGACTGAATTATTATTAATGGTGCTGTAAAATCTCGAAAGGATTTTTAAAAATAAAGCACTTCCCTTTAACAACTGTAGCATTTTAACATTATTTGAGCTCACAGTCTTAGCATCCTCAGGTGGATTTACACAGCAAAGGTAACAGTTAAATGGATTATGCTTTTGTGACAACATTATCGTGTTTAAGGTTAGAAATGTCTGTATGTAGTGTATGAACTATAAAACGTGCTGCCTGGTGGAGATGGCCTCTTCAGCTCGTAGCGGTACCCTGTCGCCCCACCTTTGGGTGATTAGCCTTCGTTTCATCACAGAAGTCTCTATGATAACTAAAGCCAGAAAGTCACAGATAGGTATTTAAGCATGGATACTTCAATAGTGATACAGTCACCCGTTACTGGACCCCAGTGCAGTACTTTCCTGTTAAGTGACAGCACTTTGATCATGATTACAATGTTAAGAGACGTCATCAAGCCCTTCTTATTGTATCTGTGTAGTTACCAAGCCCCCTAGTGGAGCAAAGATGCAGTGCCTCTTACTCATTTATTGTTAAGTATTGTCTATTTTTTGCTTCTTGTTAAGTTTCCTTGTTATTGTGAAATGAATCAAGTTTGAAGTACAGTCACGGCCGAAATTATCAGCACCCTTGGAATTTTTCCAGAAAATGCACCATTTCTCCCAGAGAATTACAAATGTTTTGGTATACACATGCTTATTTTATTATGTGCATTGGAACAACAAAAGAAAAAACAGAGAAAACAAGCCAAATTTGACATCATTTCAAACAAAACTCAAAAAACTGGGCCGGACAAAATTATTGGCATCCTCAACTTAATATTTGGTTGCACGCCCTTTGGAAAAAATAACTGAAACCTCCACCATGTTTGACTGTAGGTACCGTGTTCTTTTCTTTGTAGACCTCATTCCATTTTCTGTAAACAGTAGAATGATCTGCTTTACCAAAAAGCCCTACCTTGGTCTCATCTGTCCACAAGACATTCTCCCAGAAGGATTTTGGCTTCCTCAAGTCTGGCTTTTTTATGTTTCTGTGTCAGCAGTGGGGTTCTCCTGGGTCTCCTGCCATAGCGTTTCATTTCGTTCAGATGTCAACGGATAGTTTGAGCTGACACTGTCGCACCCTGATTCTGCAGAACAGCTTGAACTTGTTTAGAAGTTGATTGGGCTGTTTATCCACCATTCGGACTATCCTTTGTTGCAGTCTTTTATCAATTTTTCTCTTCCATCCACATCCAGGGAGATTAGCTACAGTGGCATGTGTTGTAATCTTGTTGATTATGTTGCGCACAGCGGACAAAGGAACATGAAGATCTCTGGATATGGACTCGTAGCCTTGAGATTGTTGATATTTTTCCACAATTTTTGCTCTCAACTCAATTCTCTGCTCTTCTTTCTGTTCTCCAGACAATAGAAAAGTAGTTGAATCAACTTTACTCCATTTTAACTGGCTTCAGGTGTGATTGCTATACTGTCAGCACCTGTTTCTTGCCACAGGTGAGTTGCCACTTTTGGAGTTCTGTGTGACATGACGTCAAATTTGGCTTTTTTCCTCTGCTTTTTTGCGTTGATCCAATGCGCATAAAGGAAGTAAACATGTGTACACCAAAACATCTGTAATTGCAGCAACTTTCTGGGAGAAGTGATGGATTTTCTG